TGATGTCCCTGCTTGGCCCTGAGTGCGTGCAACGCCTTGCTTCGCAAGGACCTGATGCGATATCCGCACGCCTAGAGGCATTTTCAAGTTATGAAAATGCGCTGCTAGAGCACCTACAGCAGAAGACGTCGGCGTCCATGACGCCACCGTTTGCGAGGAATGACGTTTCACGACCCAGGTCGCTCATGGTGAGCGTTGAGACCTTTGAGAGTAAGGATAAAGAGAATCTCCTGGTCTGGGTGAGAGAGGCCAAGGTGGCTCTGGCATCCGCCATGCTCCAGTATAAGCAATAGCGTATGGCTCTAGCTATCTCCCAGCTTGGCGGTCGAGTGCGAGAATGGGCACTAACGTGCGGTACTTCGGTTGAAGCACCGTTTTCCTCCGAAGCGGAGCTGAAGCTGCAGCTGTTACGAACGTTCTCGCCGCCTAACTAGGCATATTGCGTGCAATCGCGTTTCCTTGCCGCCCGACCGGGCAAGAATGAATTGGAGAATTTCGTCCAAGAGGTGCGTACTCTCATTGCCAGGATGGCGGCCGATCCGCTCTTCGAGGCGGTCGAAATGACCGTCTTCATGGAAGGCCACCGCACTGGCGTGGTCAGAACGGATTTCTTCCGTGTGCATCCTTCTTCTTGTGAAGAAGCGGTGAGTGTGGCATTGAATGCTAAATTCAACTTTAAGCCGGAATGACTCGGTTGGAAGGCACACCCTCAGAGCTCGTTGAGCGGATCTGATCCATGTATCTCAATTATGCTGAGAAGGGGGGGGCCGAGCTGCCGGGTAGCGCTCGAACAACCGACGGTGTTTTGTCTGTGGGGACATCCGTCACCTTCGAACTGGTTGTTCCATGTGCATGGCGCGTCGAGGTCTATCAACCGACGCCCTGCTTCCAACCATTCTGGTTCGTCGCGGGCAAACGAAACCACTTGGTAGGCGCGGGACGCCCTACTGAGTTCTGTTGAGGCTCAAATAGGTAGAGGACAGTAGGGTCCAGCTCCGAAAAGCTTCGTGCTCTTGAGCACGAAACGTGTATGCAAGCCAGGCTTGCTGGTCGCGAAAGCAACCGTGAAGGGCTTTGAGGGGCCATGAAAGATCCTTATCTACTCCGGGGCGCTCCACGATAGAAGGAAGTCAGATGTATGCTGAGGCGCTAAAAGTGCGATTGAGTTACATTGTCACTGTTCGCTTAGCGCGGGGAACTTGTGTCAAGGTGTCGAGGAACCTTGTGGACCTCGTTGTCAAGTTCCATGACTTTGATAGCACGGAACGCTGTCTAATCTTAGACTTGGATGCAAGGTATGACCCTGTCATTGGTATGGCATGGTTGGAACACCATAAACCATGGATAGATTGGTCGAAGCCCCTGCGCTACGCGCACGTCTCCTGGTGGAACCTTTGTGAGTCATGAACCCACCTATGCTAGAAAGTGTAAGCGCTATTGGCACGGGCACTGGACCAGGATGGTCAATGTGCTGGATATCGGAGTATCCAAGTTGTCAAACCGGACAGGAGTCCCGGGCATGGCTCACGAACTGAACGTGGGGCGGCACGCTGCCCACTGAGCACTAGTCAAGTTCAAAGCAGTTGCTGCATGCCAAGAGCGGCATGGTCGGCCAAGGTCCAAGGCATCGAGAGCGACGCCTCAGCGATGCACATGTAGTGGCGCGTAACCCACTGGACGCTGCTCATGTATCGAAGCAGTTGCTACTTACGTGGCATGGTCGGGCGAGGTCAGAGGCATCTTGGGCAAGACCCTTCAGATGCGTGTGAAGTGGCACGCTTTTCACTGGACGAAGACTAGCTCTTTGTTGGATGTTGTTTATAACATCACAAGGCTCTGAAGAGGAGGAAGTGGGGACACAGGCGACACTGAGTGCGTATTCCCACTGGTCTCACCGGTACGCATACCTCCGGGGAGAGGCAACGACGACGCCGTATATGATACAGGGCGTCGACGCTGACCCAGGGTATGTCTACCGTAGACGATAGCGCACAGCTATGCACCCTCGTCAACGGTATGATGGGGTAGGAAGTTGGCGACGTCACCCGTGAGGCTATTCCCGCGGTGAGTGCTCTTCTTGAGCTGGTCGAGATGTCCTTCGAAACGTTTGGCGGTGCCTTGAAGGCAGACGATTTAGCCGAGGTGGTCATTATATGAACGAACGAGGAGGTTATTTTATTCATCGTCGCTTCTAAATGCAGCTGTCCTGCAGGACACCAAGAGGGTGCTGAACGCACAAAATGGACTGAAGGATCCCTCGGATCCGTAATATCCTCTGGTACAGAAATTTGAAGACGTCGCCCCAAAGACCCGCCGTCGGTCCGACCTTCAGACCGAGGTGTGCGTCATGAGAATGGCCTGGTTCCCGGAACCAAGTACTGCGTAATACACCAATGTTCCCTCAGTTTGACGTCATTGACACCTTCTTCCGTACGAAGCACGACGCAGGAATGGTGCATGACAGCAAATTTCCCCACATTTTGTGTCCGGAAGCCGAACGGCAATTGGCGTATCGCTTACGCTTACAATAAGCTAAACGCTGCCATCTTTCCGGTACAGACGCCGATTCCTAAAACGTGTGTTGTCCAGGTCAATATGGTTGAATGTACACAGTACAGTGCACTCAATTTGGTCGATGTGCTTTGCGATTAATATTCCGCTTACAGCGGTGAGTACTTCGAGCGGCTTGCTCTGTGAGTAGGTGGTGATGATCCGAGGGCTGTCAGCACCAGCAACATTTAATCGTCTTGTGACGCAGATGTTCAGGCCCCACTGGGCGTATGCACAGACATACTTCGACATTTTCGTCCACAGTCGTGCAGAGCACAAGAGGACACATGAGGAAGACCACAGCGTCCATTTGAGAGCGGTTCTCGAGTGCATGTGCACGAATCCGCTATAGATAAGTGCATCTTTGGCTCCGAAAAATCCCTCCTTTTCAAGGTAGCTCCATCGGGAAGCATGGCCTTCGAGCGGACTCCGCTAAGATGAAGGCCATTGTGGACTGGCCAGCTTTAAAAAACCAAAAGGATATACGCAAGTGCCTTGGTACTTGCACAAGTATAGCGCAAACAATGCGGAAATGGCACGGCCATTGTAGAATCTCCTAAAGAAGGATACAGAATGGTGTTGGGACACCGAGCATCGGGAGACTTTCGACAGGATCAACATCAGCTCTCTTCATGCACCAATACCGGCGTTGCCATACCCCGATCGTTCTTTTAGTGTCGTCTGTGACGCTTCGAACTTTGCCATCGGCTGTGCACTGCTGCAAGC